ATTGTCTGGTGTGGACGGCACAGGTGATTGACACTTGATCATCTGACTGCTGATGGGCTGAGTGATTAATGAGCTCTGTAATGACCTATTCATCATCCCTTGTTAACTAAATACTCTTAACAGGACCTAGTCTGGACAATTAACATAATACTTCTTATGAATGGTCATGATGTACCCTGTTGAAGCGAAGACTTCACATAAATTTGAGTTTGTCCTGCTTTTTATGTGACCAAATAGAGAATGAGAAGGTGATGTTTCGTGTTTTCACTCCGCGTTGCATTTCGGGAAGTCGTCGCCATATTAGAAGGATATGCTATCCGTTGCCATGTGTACTTCGACAATGAGGCCGAGAGAAATAGCACCAGCTTGATATTTGTTGGAATTTTTGCGATACGGCGCAGTTTCTTGGAAATAAATGGAGAAAGAGGAAGCGAAAGGAATTTTTTCATATCCCTGGTTTATGGTATCAATGGCTACACAATGCAAGAGTTCAGAAGCTTTAAGTCATTAGAAGCTATGAACAATTGTTCTGTGGCTGGGTGCAAGACTTACAAACCCACAAACCTGTAAACTGCGAGAGCTCAGTCATACTTGAGGTTTCAGGGCTCATTCATATGTGGAAATGAATCTGATATGAATTGGATAGGCCTACGTGCATTTGCACCTGCCATGTAAGCGGACAGATCGGATATTTACCGTAGATGCGAGTCGTAGGCCATTGAAAAAGTGACTTTTTGAAACATTTCGAAACATTTTGACAAATTCATCAACTTTAATTGACTAGCAGAGTATTAATTTCGTTTGTTTGTGTTAAATAAAAGGCGATCTGGTGCTGAAATGTGTTGCTTTTGAAATCATGCTAAGTGCTCATTGCCGCTGCAGTCAGTTTAGTGACAAGCAGTTTCTCTAAATAACGCTGCCTGGCGTTGTAATTTAGTCTCTCCCGGCAGGACCTTTATAGACCAACAAGATGTGAGCTTTAAGTGCTGTTTACACAACACCGTTTTCAACTAAAAACGTAAAACTTTTTATGCGTTCTGGCCATTCGTTTACACGACAACGGCGTTTCGGGTGCCTAAAAACGCAAACTTTTGAAAACGGGTTTCAGAGTGCAAGTTTTTGAAAACGATGACGTCATGCACATGCGTATTACGTGTTCAGTCTTCATCACCATTTAATGGCCTGTCAGCAGAATTCAGCGTATTTAGTCGTTTTCGCGGATCCACGTGGATGAGGATCGTTTTGACAACGGTGTCGCCCTTACGCGGAAAACTCAAAGGAAATACTTCTCCGTTTTAAAGCAGCACTAAGTAGGAATTCCGTTTTTGTCAAACAGCGACCCCTAGAGTCGCTGTGGAGTACTTGTACTGTCGTGAACAGCACTCACGCAGAGATGGCTCGCACTCACGGCCGGATCCCCTCCCCCTGTACACCGGTACCTGTTCAGTAGGATGGACGCTGTAACGAGTGGAAATAAGGTATGGCCCCTTTAAGAGCTGCGCGCGCGCCTTGTTTAACTGTCGGCAGTCTGTATTGTATGTGCGCCTCGAACACCACATGTATACGGCGCCGGCTTATTTCTGTTTGATGCTCATTTTATCAGAATTTTATCAGATCTGTTTTTTGCCGTAAAGCAATTCGTTACCTCGCGAGACCTGATATCACACGATACTTCCTAGCCCTCCGGCCCAAAGTTGCAAGGGTGGTTTTGCGGCTCACAGGCACCAGGGGGTGCGAGACGACCACCATTCAACACGAAATCAGTAATATAAACATTACAATGACTCCAAAGCTGTTCGGTTAAGGTAAAAAAAAGTTACTTAGTTCACCTTTAAGCATATCGTTGTCGTGTAAACGTACCCTTAGTTCTCCATTTAATGCTGTGGTTGTGTGAACTGGTGCACAATGGGAAGGAAAGGCGCAGAAAGGCCACACAATGCCTGAGCCGAAAACACTTATGTTTGGGGAAATGCTTCTTCTTGGTACATAAACATAGTTGTTCTCTCAGGCTGTTCATGTTCAGTCCAGCTGGACTCCAAAGCATGTGATTTTTTTTTTTTCTTTTCTTTTAAGCTTTGCTACATGGAATACATCTTACTCTAAACTTCCCTTTCATCTGTACCATCTCTTCCCCCCAACCAGATGCTCGCTGGAGAATTTTTGCTAGAAGCTGGTACTGTTCTCTCGGTTCTCCATGGAGGAAACTCTTTTAAGACTGACAGAGTCATGTGGCTGGAAAAAGTGAGTGGGGAGAATACTGTGAATACACTTTAATTACAAACACGCAGGAGATACACAGGAGAAAAAGGAACACTCATTTCCCTTCGATTTGTTGATGTCCTGAGTATAGCTTCTCTCTGTATTTAAACCGAGGCCAGTGTTTTCAAAGCACCTCACATCATGTTCACTGTCCTTGAGTTATTGTGATCAATACTAATACTATTCTGAATCTGAATCTCTGTGAAATGAATCTTATTCTGTCAAGCTTAGTTAATATAAGATTGACTGCTTGTTGACAAACTCATCCTCCATCCTTGCAATCATAATACAATTTATCTTTGAGAAACTCCCCAGTTTGTAGAAATGTTACTTATAGCCTACTCCCAAATTTGGATGATGCAGCTCTACAAAACTTTCTGAAATGTGCCAATCTACCAAAAACAGCTGTTTTGAAATCATTCAGTGCTTTTTTTGTCAGACATTTTTTTTGTGTGTGTGTGAAGTGAGGAAGACTCTTGTCTTCCATTGGTTGGAAAACAAATAGCCATGTCCCAAAACACACCCCATTGGCTGAGCCTGTGTTGCTGTTGTCTGGCTAGTCCAGATGTTTAAACAAACAGAACATTGATTTGATAGTGGCAGGGGAGTAAATCGTGAAATTTTAACATCTAAAATCTACCCTTTAAATTAAGATAATGAATGTTTGGCTTGGGGTTTGTTTTTTACAGCGCAACCCTGCTTCCCAGACTCAGGTCAGAGTGGGATTTGTGGTCTACTTTGACAATTAGCCAGTTCCACTGAACACAGAGGGCAGTGGACCATGAGTCTGTGTGAAATGTGTGTGTGTGTATTTTATTTGCACATGCTTAAGCCTGCAACCAACAGCAGTTTTTCTATCACCTGTGGAGTTTAATCTCTTGGCATGTTGACCATCATCTGCCCTGCTACAGAAAACCTGCTTCTATTGTACATAATGAGTTTAATGCAACTATATGCTGCTAAAACAATGATGATGTTGATATTCAGGGGTCTTCGTTCTTTTTAAAGCCTTTTACCCTTTTCAAATATTTTCAAAATAGGTAGAAACAGAAAAGCAAATGGAAAATAATTAGCGTAGCTGCTGTTAATAACATTTCAAGCAAAAGGTAATCATGTGCTTTTAATCTGATATAACTGGAGTACAAGGTTATGAGATGTATTATTTGAATGCTTTGCTAAAGAGATGTGTCTTTAATCTAGATTTAAACTGGGAGAGTGAGTCTGAGGCCCTAACATTATTAGGAAGGCTATTCTACAGTTAAGAAGCCAAATGTGAAAACGCTCTCCGTCCTTTAATGGACTTTGATATCCTAGATCCTTCCAGAAGCCCAGATTTTGTGATCTTAAAGAGCGTGATGGATTGTAGAGCAATAGAAGATCAGTTAAATACACAGGAGCTGAACAATTTAGGGCCTTATAGGTCAGTAGCAATACTTTGTAATCAATACGGGAACTTAATAGGTAACCAGTGTAGAGATAATAAAATTGGGGTTATATGATCATATTTTCTTGACCTGGTAAGAACTCTAGCAGCTTTTCTGCATCAGAAACAGATTACACGTTTGTTATCGGCATCACAGTGGAAACTAATTCCTTGTTTTCTAATAATTTTACCAAGGAGCATGTATATTGAAAATAGCAGAGAGCCTAACACAGACACTTGTGGGACTCCAAATTTACTGGATAATTCCCCGTTTAAAAAAATAAAATGGTAACAGTCTGATAAGTACCATCTAAACCACCTTAATGCCTGTCCCTAATTATTGAACAAAAAACAAGTAAATCTCTTGTACACTCTTAATGCATTATCAACATTTTGCATTATCAATGAGTGAATTTTTTATTTATTTTGCTAATGTTTTAAAATATATTTCCAAAAAAGTTTCAGTGTTTGTTTGTTTTCTGTCATGGGAGTAGTCCTGTACGATCCAGCTACTGTGACTTTCCACTGGGGAAGTCTTTGGCTTCTTGTTGTAATTCATGTACAGTCCATATCAATGGTTGTGACTCCACTGCCTGTTGATAACATCTGGTTTTCACATGCTCCTTGACGCACATTGTTTTTCCTGTAACACACTCCAGAAGGATGTGTGAGCACTTAAGAAAAAAAACTTGAAACATGTTCAGTTCTGTAAGCTAAGGTTGTTCTGCGGTTTACGGCACACCGCCCGTCGAACATTTTGACTAGTGGTTTCAGGATATTAACTTCAATTCTTTGCCTCAAGACTTCCTAACATCAACGCACACCGATTACATCCCAAAATTTCAGTAGTAACCCATCAACGTTGTTTGTAGCCTTCAGCAAGTTTCCTCACAAGACTTAACAGGGTCTGATAAAGAGAAGTCAATGTTAATGCAGTCTTTTGTGTACGTGCACAGAGGAGCTTTTGTTCGTCTACAGACTTCATTGGGATTTAGGGTGACCCTCAGCAGATCAGTAGAGAATAGTAGCGCTCGAGAGCTCTTTTGTAAAGCCAAAGGCATAAAAGAATGGCTTGTTTGAAGGAGCTCTTCCCTGATGAACGGATACAAACCAGAGGCTGTGTTGATGGCTAAAGGTCGTCTCTAAGGAAGCAGCTGTGCAGGGGAAACTCCTTCCAGAGCAGACGCTCACTCTTAAGGGTCGAGCTACTGATGCACTCTGTGACACTATCTGGTTATCCTGAACATGATTTTCACAAAGTTATATGCATGTCGCAGTGATTTTATTTGCCCCTGTTCTTTCTCCTCTTTCCTCACAGATGAGATTATGCAGCAGGAGATCAGGCCGTTACTGGCTGTCGATATAATTGAACAACTTCACAGGCAATTTGCTCTTCTTTCAGGTGAGATATGAATGTCTATTTGCTCTTTAGGTTGGGATAAAAAGGCTTATTTTTTTTTATTTTTTTTCAAAAGCAATGCACTTCCCTGCTCACTCGCTGTTGGTGATGCTTTTGAACTTTGACCCTTTCTCTTTTGAGAGGAAGAACGTGGGTCAGGTTTCTGTGGTGGCAGTTAATTGATGCTAATGCTCACAAATCACATCGTGTCAGTACTTGTACAATTCCCAGTCCTCCATTTCCTCAGATGCTCATTAGCACTTAAAACCAGAGAAAATAGACTTCTGGTGTCTCGCTTTCCCATGATGAATATTATATAAAAATGATTAGAGAAATATCCAAGGACTTATTGATGATAGTTCATGAATTGAGAAAATTGTAGATTTGTTTTAATGTCAAACAGCACAGATCATTGTTTCACTCAATATGATACTGTCTCTTTTACTGAGTGAAATTAAATATATCAAAAGAAACATGATTTTGTTTGTAATACCAATATCATGCACAATTTATCGATTCCATATTGATTATCTGCTGATGTTTTCCAATTTTATCAGTATTGGTTGGTATTGGATATTTAATTGTGCATGTTTAAATAGTTTTAAAATAGTTTCCACTATTTTAAAAATTTGGATTATCTTTGCTCCGAACTAATGTTCAATTAACGTCAATCTTTAAAAACGTTTTAAATAAGTTAAAAGCAAAGTTAAATGTAATCTTTAGCAAATTTCAAAATCAATATCCGGTTTTCATATTGTAAAATTATAATGCCTAATTCACCCGATTAATACAATTTTTATTGTTTTAATTTTTTGTTTATCTTCAGAAAGATGTGTGTGCGCTTGAAAATAATAATAATAATAATAAAATACTTGAGACTTACTTGATCAATTTCTGCTGGTTAAGTTATTCTTTAATTATTTAAATATGTTTTTATTAATTTACTCAAAATAATATGGAATTTTAATATCGGCCATTTATTGGTTATCAGGCATAACTTGAAAATAATTATCTGCTTATCTGTATCAGCTAAAATTTTAATATTGCTGCATCCCTATAATACTATACCGTTATAGATCAACTAACATAATCATTATAAAATGTTTAAATGTCAAAATACGTTTAATAACGCGTTTTAAGGTGTCCTTGTTACAGTGTAATTATATGTAGTAATATTAATGAACTACATGTGCTTATAGGCTTATAGGGTTAGACTTAGGGTTTAGTTTAGGGTTAGTTGCATGTAATTATGCATAATTGAAATAGGAACTGTAAAATGTTACACAACACGTTACATAATTAAACCAGTTTATTTAAATGAACACTTACAGTACTAAATGACTTTGGTTTTTTCACCTTGTTTGAACCTAAATCTTTTTTGTTTACCAGCTAATGCTTTTAGCCTCTAGGCTACGCCACCATCCTGCTTAAATGAATAGTTCACTTCACAATGAAAATGTTGAAAATGAAAACCCTGTATGTATTTCTTTCTTCTGCTGAACACAAAAGAAGATATTTTGAAGAATGTCAGTAACCTGATGGACCCCATTGACTTCCATAGGAAAAAAAATACTATGGAAGTTAATAGGGTCCATCAACTGTTTGGTTACCAACATTCTTCAAAATATCTTCTTTTGTGTTCAGCAGAAGAAACTCATACAGGTTTGAAACAACTTGAGGTTGAGTAAATGTGGTACTGAGGGGTAATTAACTATGCAAAACAATTAATATTAACTAATAAAACAGAAGTGTTTACTGCGTTTAGCACATGCAGGGTGAAACAGGGTGGAAAAACTTACACGCTGAACTGATGTAAGTGGGAGGGACATCATAACTACAGACTCGCTGCTCTTTAGAGAGCCTTTCCATTCCTTCCCACCCCAGTCAGATCTCCTGAGGCCTGGTTTGCCTCCCTGTCTTCTCATCTGCCAAGAAGCCTGCACCAGCCATCAAAACTGCACGGGTTACGTAACGTTACGGTTCAAAACAATCCCAGCATACTCTGTGCAATCTATTTAGCTGACTCCTCTTGTCTTGAGTGCTGTTTTCCGCTGAAACGCATGGTGTCATCCATTAGGTCTCTGTGAATCACAGGGGAAGATCAGAAATTAAATGTCCTATAGGTGTCATTAAAATCAGTGAAATCATTCAACCACAAAGTACACTATACCAGTCAAAAGTTTTGGAACGGTAAGATTTTTAATGTTTTGTCTCTTTTGCTCACCAAGGCTGCATTTATTAGATTTTTTTTTTTTTTTTTTTTAAAGACAGTAATATTGTTAAATATTATGACAATTTGAAATAACTGTTTTCTATGTTCATATATTTTAAAATGTAATTTATTCCTGTGATCAAAGCTGAATTTTCAGCATCATTACTCCAGTCGTCAGTGTCACATGATTCTTCAGAAATCATTCTAATATGCTGATTCATTATTATTATCATCAATTATTATTATCAGTTGTGTACAATTTTTTTTCCAAGATTCTTTGATGAATAGAAAGTTCAAAAGAACAGCATTTATTTTAAAATAGAATATTTTGTAACATTATAAATGTCTTTACGGTAACTATTGATCAATTTAATTAATCCTTGATGAACTATTGATTTCTTTTATTTATTTCCCCCCAAACAATAAAATAAGAAGTGTTTAATGTTACAGAAGCTTTGTATTTCAGATAAATGCTGTTCTGTCGAACTTTCTATTCATCAAAGAATCCTTAAATAAATATGTAAATAACTATTTATGAGAAATGTTTCTTGAGCATCAAATTAGAATGATTTCTAAAGGATCATGTGACACTGAAGACTGGAGTAATGATGATGAAAAATCAGCTTTGATCACAGGAATAAATGACACATATTCACATAGAAAACAGCTGTATTAAATTGTAATAATATTTTACAATATTACTGTTTTTTTTTGTATTTTTAATCAAATAAATGCAGCCTTGATGAGCAAAAGAAACTTCTTTTAAAAACATAAATAATCTTACCGATCTAAAACTTTTGACTGGTGTAGCGGATGTGATCTGGGGGATGTGTGTGGTTTATAAATATAAATGAAAAAAGAAACATGCACATATACATATAAATATACTGTATATAAATCACCTATACATCACCCAAGTGAGGAGTTGTGACATCTAAAGTCTAAAAATGGATGAACATGTGACATCTGAGTGGATCTGCCTTATTACTGCAAACAAACACATCTTTCTCCAGAATTCCCCTCAGGAATGAACACAATGCACAAGAAGAATCCTTGTTAAATGAGGCGATTACGTATTCACGCTGACAGGGACAGTGGCGAATATTTTGCTAAAAATATTTTAATTATTTAAAATTATATAATAAGTTTGGCTACGTCAGGCTTCGTGATCCTATAGCAGGGGTTTTTACAGTTTGAGCTCAAAATGAAAATATGACAGTATGTGTAAAAAAAAAGACAATATTTTTTCCCTCACTATATTTAGATTGTCTCTTGTTTCCATTTAAATAGAACACATCATAGAATTACAGATACCATTGATTGATAACATGTACTTATAACCCTTAAAGGTTATAAATTCACAAACATACTGTTACGCTGGTAGCAGGAATGAAGCAGAGAGTGAATCCAAACGCAAGCACTTTAATAATCCAACACACAGGTAATCCAGGGTAAACGCAGAACAAGGTACTCAGAAGAACAAGGAACAGCTACAAGCAAACATTAAACAACAACCGACAGCCAACAACTGAAACACAGGGGTTTAAATACACAGACAAACAAGCTAAACAAGATAACAAGGGGGCGTGGTTAATTAGAGACACCTGGGGAGACTAATAGACATAGACGAGGAACACCTGTGGACACTGAGCAACAACATGACAAAAGACAAGACACATGGCAGGATAACATGACAAACAGGGAATCACATGACAGACAAGAACAAGGAACAAAACACAAAACCCACACCGTGACATAGCCCCTCCCCTATGGGCGGCTCCCGACGCCCATAAAAACAAAAAACAATAGTTCAGGAGGGTGGTGAAGCGGAGGCGGTCTGGGGGAGGGATGGAGGGCCAGGCCCGCACAGGGGAACGGGACCAGGACATAGTCATGGTGGACCTGGGCCATGAAGCGTGGGCGGACCAGGTTGTGCAGGCGACCAGGGTGGAGCAGGCAGTTCAGGTGGCCACGGTGGAGAAGACCCTTCGGGCGGCCAGGGCGGTGAAGACCCTTCGGGCGGCCACGGCGGCGAAGACCCCTCGGGCGGCCACGGCGGTGAAGACCCCTCGGGCGGCCACGGCGGTGAAGACCCCTCGGGCGGCCACGGCGGTGAAGACCCCTCGGGCGGCCACGGCGGTGAAGACCCCTCGGGCGGCCACGGCGGTGAAGAGGGCTTTCGGCTGGGCAGGACCAGCCGTGAAGAGGGCTCTGAGCTAAGCAGAACCAGCGGCGAAAGAAACTCTGCGCTGGACAGGACTGGCGCAGGATCAGTGAGCTCTGGTGCAGGATCAACGGCCCCTGGCGCAGGATCAGCAGGCTCTGGCGCCGGATCAGCGGGCTCTGGCGCAGGATCAGCGGGCTCTGGCGCAGGATCAGCGGGCTCTGGCGCAGGATCAGCGGGCTCTGGCGCAGGATCAGCGGGCTCTGGCGCAGGATCAGCGGGCTCTGGCGCAGGATCAGCGGGCTCTGGCGCAGGATCAGCGGGCTCTGGCTCAAGGGTGTGCGTAGCCCACACACACCACATGGCTGTGGCCATAATGGCCAGTGTTGCGGTCACTGAGGACTCAGGCGGCGCATGCGTGGCGTGATCAGTCTCTGGCTGGGCAGACGTGACGTGAACAGTCTCTGGCTGGGCAGATGTGACGTGAACAGTCTCTGGCTGGGCAGACGTGACGTGAACAGTCTCTGGCTGGGCAGACGTGACGTGAACAGTCTCTGGCTGGGCAGACGTGACGTGAACAGTCTCTGGCTGGGCAGACGTGACGTGAACAGTCTCTGGCTGGGCAGACGTGACGTGAACAGTCTCTGGCTGGACGTGGCTGACGTGAAGATCTGGCTGGACGTGGCTGACGTGAAGCTCTGGCTGGACGTGGCTGACGTGAAGCTCTGGCTGGACGTGGCTGACGTGAAGCTCTGGCTGGACGTGGCTGACGTGAAGCTCTGGCTGGACGTGGCTGACGTGAAGCTCTGGCTGGACGTGGCTGACGTGAAGCTCTGGCTGGACGTGGCTGACGTGAAGCTCTGGCTGGACGGTCTCTGGCTGGGCGGTCTCTGGCTGGACGGTCTCTGGCTGGACGGTCTCTGGCTGGACGGTCTCTGGCTGGACGGTCTCTGGCTGGACGGTCTCTGGCTGGACGGTCTCTGGCTGGACGGTCTCTGGCTGGACGGTCTCTGGCTGGACGGTCTCTGGCTGGACGGTCTCTGGCTGGACGGTCTCTGGCTGGACGGTCTCTGGCTGGACGGTCTCTGGCTGGACGGTCTCTGGCTGGACGGTCTCTGGCTGGACGGTCTCTGGCTGGACGGTCTTTGAGGAGGCCTTTCTCCTCCTCCGTCTCCGGACCACCGGACTCGGGACCACCAGACTCAGGACCACCGGAACTGGGACCACCGGAACTGGGACCACCGGAGCCGGGACCACCGAAACTGGGACCAGTGGTGAAGGCCTGGCGTAACAAGGAATGAAGCTCTCCAGACATCTGGAGAGCGCCTCTCTCCAGCCCAGTCCCGAGAGATCAGGGAGCTTCCTCGGGTCGACCTCCTTAGCCCCTAGCCGGTAACAAAGCTTGATCGCCTCATCTCCGAGAGAGCAGGAGGCAGCGAGGAGGGCAAACCCCCAGGTATACTGGAACAGGTCAGGGCTCCTTAGGGCTAAGGCTGCGATCTCTCCAGCAAACTCCTGGCTCATGCTGGAAAGATCTGGCGAGATCCGTGCTGCTGGATTCATTTGTTGGTCGGTTGTTCTGTTACGCTGGTAGCAGGAATGAAGCAGAGAGTGAATCCAAACGCAAGCACTTTAATAATCCAACACACAGGTAATCCAGGGTAAACGCAGAACAAGGTACTCAGAAGAACAAGGAACAGCTACAAGCAAACATTAAACAACAACCGACAGCCAACAACTGAAACACAGGGGTTTAAATACACAGACAAACAAGCTAAACAAGATAACAAGGGGGCGTGGTTAATTAGAGACACCTGGGGAGACTAATAGACATAGACGAGGAACACCTGTGGACACTGAGCAACAACATGACAAAAGACAAGACACATGGCAGGATAACATGACAAACAGGGAATCACATGACAGACAAGAACAAGGAACAAAACACAAAACCCACACCGTGACACATACCATGCAACACATGCCTCCCTTCATAATAAAAACGACAAAATATTAATCAAAAGTATAACTATGTCCCTTACATATTAAATTGTAGCAAGTAAAATTAAAACCTAACACAAATATGACTCAAATGTACATCTATAATAATTAATTTAATGGTTTTGCAGTGTAAACATCATAACAAATGTAAGTAAATATATGCACTGTAAATGTGATCAGTTAAAATAAAAGTGAGGAAACCTGCTGCCTTAAAATTGAGCAAATTACCAGTATGGTAATACGCATTGCAATATTATGTGAACTTGACAATTCCGCCTAACTTAATTTTTTCAAGTAAAATGGCTTATTTATTTAATTTTAAGGCAAGGCAACAAAAAGTGATCAGTTGAATTAAGTTAAAAAAGTGAGGAAACCCTTTTTAAAGTTAATTCAACTGATCACTTTTTGCAGTGTGTAAGTATGAAAATATATACATTTTATGTTATATGTTAAATAAAGTTAAATTTTATTAAGGTCTCTTTTTGTCTGATTTGTTGTTAACAATTTATCAAGCATTTTTTTTAAACAGTATGTAGTCTGATAATAATTGATGGATGTGTCAGAACTCAATATCTCATCTCATAACTCATAACTCAATCTCACACCACTGTCGCCCCCTTGTGGTTGAAATGAGTTGTGAGTCTTATTTTCTTAAATCAAATCAATATGTGAATTAAATTGAAATAAAATAAGTCAAATAAAAAGTAGAAACGTGTGATGAATACTTAAGAATTATTTTGAGGACAATTCCCGATGTATGTCCCGTTAAACAGAAATGAAAGACGTATATTTGAAAGCTATGCCCTAAATATAAAGAGAAGAAAAGTAGGTCATGGTTTTAAACCCCTTCACACCTGGCTTCTGCTGCATGCACTTTCACACCATGCGCATAGTTTCCGTTTAAGTGTGAAGGATGTCAATCATAAGACCAAAAAAAATGAAAAATACTTGGTCTGTGAACTGTGAACACACACCATAGGGCTCATCGAGATTACAAACAAATGTTGCTTGAAAATAAATGTTTTTAAAGTACCACAGAGTGCCATTTAATATTTCAAACCTTCTTTTTCTCAAGAATTAATAACTGTGAGTTAACTAGACACTAAATATTTGCAGGAGGAAGAGGAAAAGATGGATCTCCCATCATCACCTTCCCAGAGTTCTCAGGTTTTAACGAGGTGACGGATGAGGAATTCGTTAACGTCATCACATACCTGACCAGTATACCAAGGTGAAACCTCATTTATCTTATTATAATTAATTGTGAATGATTTTCAAAACGTGTATTGAAACCAACTGTAAATACAGGCAAATTACTGTACTCTGAAATGTTTGATTTCTGTCTTAAAGTTGTGGTTTCCAAAGCCTGACCAGTCTGTTTCTGTTCTTCATCCTTCAAGCATGGATGCAGCTAGCATCGGCTTCATCATCATCCTCGACCGCAGGAAGGACAAATGGAACTCGGCAATCACTTCTCTGTCACGGATAGCGGTTTGTACAGGCTCTTGCTGAAGCTTTATGAAGTTAGCTCTTCAACATGATGTTTACAGATACAGAAATATGAGTCAATACATCATACTTCTTCCAAAACTTATTTCGCCTGATTCACTATGGTAAGCCTATTATAAGTGTTTATATTTTAGACCTATCAGGAGGGTTTTCGTGGGACAAACAAGGTACATAATCAAGTCCATGAATATAACAAATCTTGTTGATCCTCTGAGCATAACCAGCAACTGAATTAAAGGATTACAATAAAACAAAATAACAAAAAGGGGCCATAAGCAGTTCTGCACATCTCTCCAAAAAAGGTGTAATTAGAGAAAAGCTGATCCGGCTACTTTGGCGCGTGTATGTCAGAGATAAGTCAGTCACGACGAGCGAGAAAGGTTGACATGAAACTGAATCTCGAACCTCCGGAGAATCACCTGTTTTTTTTTTAAAAACGCAGAAAAGAGGAGAGAGTCTGCTCTTTCATCGGGATTTGAATTAATAAATTCATTCGTTTATTAAAGTTTATAATAAAAACTGAAAACGCTGAAAACCTTTTAAAAAGCGTTTATTATTAGAATTGATAAAGTAATTGAATATGTTTTTATGATTTTTAAATACTACTTTTTTATTTTACAGTACATACAGTAAGTGTTATTACAATAATAATAATTGTTTTGTGATTTAATTTTTTACAATGGAGTTTGCTATAAAAAATTGCTATCATTTTTTTTAACGTTATTTATTAATTTTAATTAAAAGATTTGAAATGTAATAAAAATATATTTAACCTTTTATATATACTGTATATATAAATATATTTTACATTTATATATATATATATATATATATATATATACTGTGTATATATATATATATATAAATATATATTTATTAATTTTATAAATTAATTTAAAAAGTTTCAAATACAGAATAAGTACAGTTTGGAAGTATATGGTCTCACAGTATATATAGTTAATGCCACAGAATTGTTAAGGAAATGAGTCAAACTTTTATTTTTGCTTCTGTTTCATTTCCTTTCATGACTAAAAGGGCTCCTTCCCAGGAAATCTACAGCTTGTTCTGGTTCTGAAACCTTCACGCCTCCTCCAGAGGGCCATCGCTGATGTCAGTATACGGTTACATAGGGATGACTTCAAATTGAAGGTACCGGTAAGCATGCTCTTGTCTGTCTGGACCCTCAGCATGTCTGTTCATTCGCCATATGACGCGCAGGGCTCCTCTGGAGTGTTTGTAACCATGATCACTCACCCGCTAAATTATTAACAGAGTCTGTCACCCTGTTGTTTTATGCATGTCTGAAAGGATGTTAACCTCCAACCCTGTTTTAACAGCACTTTAGAAGGTGGAGGTGCCTTATAGCTGCTTGTCATCAAAGCGGTGGCAATGTGTGAATTCAGTAAATGCCACCTTGCTTTGGCATATTGTATGCTAGTGCATGAGATTATCATCTGCATGCAATTTCTCTTGTGACGTTAAGGAAATGAAGATTGCACTGTGGCGTACGTGTCTTTCAAAACATGCCTTCTGCAGATTCATTAGATTGATAGTCATCTACAGGAATATTCCAGATTTAGTGTTAGTTCTGAAACTTTGTCTCTTATTTTCTTCACACTTCGTGCAAATAGACAGCGTCTATATATTTACAATAGATGCTATTAGAGTTGTCAAAAGTACAGACTTCGGTACCAAGTCGGTACAGAATTTTAAAAAATGTGACGCTTTGAGCGCTGTTGAGCGGATTTTGAAAACACCTCTGATTGGTGTCAAAGGCTAACGCCATCCGCTTACTCTCCACACTACTGATTCCATTGTCAGCAGGGTTTCTTTAGTCATTTTGTCTGGCTCAATCAGACGATGTTGGCTTGAGTCAGTGTAAATAGCCTCTGCCAGTAAGTTGGGCTATTTGCAGTTGGTGTGAAATGGGTTGGTTTCAATCATACAAGTTAACTCTTTCCCCGACATTGACGGAATTTTCCGGCTTTCCGTATTTTCACTGTTATACGGAGTAGGGGGCGCTATTACACATCTTCTGAAAGAGTACTAAATATACTGATTAAAACACAGGCGAAGAAGCAGAAACAAGAAATCACATGCAATCGTATGCATATGTAAAAAACACGATCACCAACATTAAACCGCATATAAATCAAAACTGCCTAATGTTAATGAATGAAATGTCGACCCAGGACAAGCTATAGGACTGTGCAAGCATTAGGGGTGTTGATGGACTCGATCTACTTCATGTATGTTTTGATCATCAGTTCTGAATATGATCTGGATGTAGTCTTTGACAAAAATGCGATTTTCTCAGCTTTTTTGCTCAAAATGTTGCTTTCTTTATGAAACGTACTTACCCACATTCAGTGTTGATAAAAATAAAGGCATAGAGGTAGAATAAAACGTTTTTTTATTATTATTATTTTTATTTTTTTAAAGCAGAGGCTCTTTTCTTTCTTTTGATTATTGCATGTTCATCCACAAGACTTAAACAATATAAGTGATTTCAATGTGGTGACATGATTAAGTGTGAAAAGTTAATAATTAAACTCTTTTGTGTAAAGTTATATAAAATTTTACCTCTTTGTTGCCATTATAATGTTACTGTACACCATAAACTCTTAAACCCAAAAATGACTGTAAAAATAATGTAAACAATTTTACAGCTCAAGTAATACACACATTTTAACAGAAGAACAAAATTATAAGCCTTACATGTATGCTTTTAAACTTCCAAAACTGGCCTCATTCACTTCCAAACCCAGAATGTTCTTTTAACCTTCCTCTGCAACCGTTTCTTTACCACATGTGTCCTGTAAAATGTCTGCATGCATACTTTAAGCAGCCTACCACAGGTTGTGAAAATACTAGTTCCTGTGAAAATGAATGTGGGCATGGTCTGTGGTATTGGCAATACAATAACACTAACTAACAGCGACTTTGTCTTTAAAGCAATATAAGAGAAACACTTAGTTTCTGTTCGCAAAAAGTAGTACACAAATGTCTGGCATGAATACACTTCCATATATTATGTATGTAAATGTTTTTTCTTTCTTTTCTTCTTCCCTTGTAGATTGTTATGCTAAATTCCCTGTCAGACTTGCACGGCTACATTGACAAAGGCCAGCTGACCTGTGACCTGGGGGGAAGCCTGGAATATTGCCACAGTCAATGGATTCACCATCGCACAGTGAGAAGTTTTTTTTAGTAATAAACAAAGCCTTAATTAGCTTATTAATATGACTTCAAATGAAAATATACTGTATTATTTTTTACAGATTTGAATGCAGTCTACAATTTAATTTCAAAATACCATATAATATACTGTGAAGTAGATTTAGATTTTTTTTTTCAGTGTTATGTAAAGTATATACTCACCTAAAGGATTATTAGGAACACATGTACAATTTCTCATTAATGCAATTATCTAATCAACCAATCACATGGCAGTTGCTTCAATGCATTTAGGGGTGTGGTCCTGGTCAAGACAATCTCCTGAACTCCAAACTGAATGTCAGAATGGGAAAGAAAGGTGATTTAAGCAATTTTGAGCGTGGCATGGTTGTTGGTGCCAGACGGGCCGGTCTGAGTATTTCACAATCTGCTCAGTTACTGGGATTTTCACGCACAACCATTTCCAGGGCTTACAAAGAATGGTGTGAAAAGGGAAAAACATCCAGTATGCGGCAGTACTGTGGGCGAAAATGCCTTGTTGATGCTAGAGGTCAGAGGAGAATGGGCCGACTGATTCAAGCTGATAGAAGAGCAACTTTGACTGAAATAACCACTCGTTACAACTGAGGTATGCAGCAAAGCTGCAGTTGAAGACTGGAAAAATTGTTGCCTGGTCTGATGAGTCTCGATTTCTGTTGAGACATTCAGATGGCAGAGTCAGAATTTGGCGTAAACAGAATGAGAACATGGATCCATCATGCCTTGTTACCACTGTGCAGGCTGGTGGTGGTGGTGTAATGGTGTGGGGGATGTTTTCTTGGCACACTTTAGGCCCCTTAGTGCCAATTGGGCATCATTTAAAAGCCACGGCCTACCTGAGCATTGTTTCTGACCATGTTCCATCCCTTTATGGCCACCATGTACCCATCCTCTGATGGCTACTTCCAGCAGGATAATGCACCATGTCACAAAGCTCGAATCATTTCAAATTGGTTTCTTGAACATGACAATGAGTTCACTGTACTAAAATGGCCCCCACAGTCACCAGATCTCAACCCAATAGAGCATCTTTGAGAGCATCTAGAGGAGCTTCGTGCCCTGGATGTGCATCCCACAAATCTCCATCAACTGCAAGATGCTATCCTATCAATATGGGCCAACATTTCTAAAGAATGCTTTCAGCACCTTGTTGAATCAATGCCACGTAGAATTAAGGCAGTTCTGAAGGCGAAAGGGGGTCACACACAGTATTAGTATGGTGTTCCTAATAATCCTTTAGGTGAGTGTATATATATATAAAGTATATAATTCAAAATGTTGTGTCCTAGGCCATTGAGAACTTTGCGTTAACAGTGAAGAGCACAGCACAGATGCTTCAGCAGTTTGGAACTGACCTGGCAGAAACTGAGCTTCCCAATGACGTGCAGTGCACCAAAGATTTGCTTATCACACACACCGAAAAACACGATAAGCTCAAGGTAGCCATCCACATTTATAGAACAGTGCTTCTAATGTTATCATATGATTTGTTTAATCCTTGTTATAATCGTGTCCTTTATTTTATTGCTTGTGTCTGTGCAATCGGTCAGTTACCTTTTATCGGTTCATTGATGTTCGGTTTCTCACATAGTGGAGCAACAAAACACCATCTGTATTTATCTTGATTTTGCCTGTTTTTGCATATTTGCAGATTCAATCAGTATTCATATGCCATATTTCTTCTTTCTGTACAGGAAGAGCTCAAATTGGCAGTGAAACAAGGTCATACTCTGCTGTCCTGTATCAAAGACCAGGCCAGCAAAACCGAGAGCCACGTTTTGAATCCAGATGAGGTAGAGAACCAAACAACCGTTGAGAGGTGTGTAATAAGGTTTTGCCACACACAAAAAGTTACACCGTTAATGACGATGGTAGCTTAAGCAGAACTATAATGTAACACATTTCTAACTGACATTCCTACTTGACAGCAAAACAGAATAATCACTTTGAAAGGGATTTGAACCATTGCAAATAGAGATCTTGCTGACGTCTGCCAAAAAATATAGTCACAGAGCAATTAACATTTTTTTTTAAACTTGCACTATGAATTATTCACAATATAACCAGGAACATTAAAATAAAAGTTATTTTGTTTACATATTGACTTTAGTGCCATTTCCTCCATTTTTACCGCTCTTTTATCAGGTGTTAGACTTGTGTAGTTCTTGTTACAGTTCTGTTATTATTCTTTAAAGCCTAGTGTCATCTAACCTTCCTCTGTGAAATCTAATTCACTCTAGCTCCTCTGACATTCACACTGTAAAAGCGTTTGTTTGTTTGTTTGTTTGTCTCAGGTTGTTAGCGCAGCTCGATGAGACGGAGAATGCGTTTGAACAGTTCTGGTCGAGGCATCACCTCAAATTAGAGCAGTGCTTACAGTTACGACACTTTGAGCAGGACTTCAGAGAGGTACGGTGCAATGGATGTGCTCAATTGTGCTCAACTTTGTAGGTAGCCATTAAACCAAGTATCACCAGTGGCGGTTGTCCGGTCAATCAAGTTGAAATTGGTGTGATTTATCCATTGCATCAGGTGAAAGTTTCTCTGGATGGCCTGATGGAAGTGTTATTGGGGCTGTCTGACATCGGGGACTGTGTGGCCCGGGTCGATCACCTACTTGGGGAACTGAAAACCTTGGAGGACAAAGCCCAGGTCAAAATATTTTGAATCTAAGACCAGGCCTGATATGCAAACCACCACATTCAGTTTAATAGCTCAACTATTTTTTTTTTTTTTTTGCTGGTTAAACCACTAATTTACATGTTTACTTTCACAAATCACTGGCCCCACCACAAAGAACCACACACACTTGCATTTTTTACAGACAGTTAATGTTTCTTTTAAGCATATTCAAATCAGCATAATCACCATATGTTTTGCATGCTGGTCCCCAACATGGAATGTTGGTTTGCTCATGTCACCACTGCGATTTTAACTAGCTTAACTCTACTAAATCAACCATCTTATCTAGAAACACAATGCATACTTTTGCATTGCCTTTGTCAAAATGATAAGAAATGTTTGAAATCACGCAATAACTAAAGCTGAACTTCAGGAAGAAATCAGATACACAAACACAGTGCTGCTACTGACACTATTGTCTTTCTATAGCTGCATTACAGCATAATTCAATTCTGTTTGCATCATTGATCGTTATTTACCTGTTTAAAACAGTAAAGCTGCTTTGAAACTTTGATCTGTATTGTATAAAGCGCTGTATATAAAGTTGACTTGACTATTATTACTAGTCAAGATAGCAGTGTACATCATAAATTTTCTGTTTATCTTGTTTACTTATCTGTACAGGAGTCCTTGGAGAAAGCTCAGCTTCACGCTCAGCATGGAGACCAGCTCATTCAAAGCAACCATTACGCTGTAGACTCAATCCTCCCAAAGTGTGTCGAACTGCGTCGGATCTGTGATGACTTCAGCAATGAGGCCAAAAAGAAACGTGACATTCTAACCAAATCACTTGAAATCCACAAAGGAATCGATGAGGTTTGTGAAACAACTTGCATGCAGTCAAATTACCACACAGGCACCTTCAAGGTCAAAGCGTTTATTGTCATATGCACAGTGAGGAAAAACAAGTTTTCCCTGTACAATGAAATTCTTTCTTTGCTGTCCACAATGAATGCCAGGACTAGTGCAAAGTACTTATAAAAGAACAAACACACACACACACACACACACACACAAAATAAAAAATGCTATAGGATAAGAATTAGACAAGGCCTAAGTCTTAATATTGAGGTTTCGGTTTCACTTTCACTTTATTTTGATGGTCCCTTTAACACATTCTGTTGACTAAGTACCTTTACATCTACATGTCTACTAACTCTCATCAGAGTGTTAGTTGAGTATTAGTAGACTGGTAGGGTTAGGGTTAGAGTAAGTTGGCATGTAGTTACAAAGTTACTTCTAGTCAGTAGAATGTCTGTTGGGGGAGCATCACAATAAAGAGATAGCAGATATTAAGCAGACAGTCTACTAATACTCTATAATGAGAGTTAGCTGACATCTAGTTGCAAAGCTACTTATAGTCAAGAGAATGTTAAAAGAGACCATCAAAATAATGTGTTACCGAGTTTTCATGTGGGATGATTGAGTGAGGACATGATAGATGGGTGATATTAAGAGATGACTTGCAGGTTGTCAGAAGACAAATACATTTACAAAATGAAATTTAAAAAACAAGACTTTTTTTTTTTAAATGTATATATTGAATTAAGTTTATTAAGTTTATATAAGTTTATTAAGTTTAAGTATTTTTGTTTTACTCCCCTTCTATTACGCAATCAAAATATGAGAAGTGTTATATCAGGAAGAAGAATACACAAGGCATTAAAATGACAAAATTATTTGGCAAGAACTCCAGTATATAATTAAAAATGGGTTTTATTGGATTATGCAAAAAAAAAAAAAAGACATTGAAAAAGAAAAGGCTCACAGGAAATAAAACATAATTTGACTACAAAGTAATCAAATCAGTTATTAATATTTTGTTGCTTCTCCCTTGTTTTATTTTTATTTTATAACAGCCATTCTCCTGGGCATTGACTAAATTGTATGCATCTGTCCTGCTTAACTTCTTTCCAATCCTCCTTAAGTTCTTCCCAAAGTTGAGCTTCATTTGAAGACCTGAATGACTTATCACAATTCAGGTTTATAATTTCAAGAAAGTTTCAGTGGCTTTAAGGTCAAGGGACTGAAGACTTCAAAATGCTGAGCATGAACACTTTCAATATCCAAAACCGACTGACTAGATTTAGCCATTTCAACAACATCCTTCTTGGTTGCAGAGGACAGCTCCTTCCATCTGGCCATTTTCACTAAAACCCACAAAATAACATTAAAAATATACTGTAGCTAATACATGCCACATAGTTATTTATTGAATTATAGGCTGGGAATAATGAGTGTAATCCTGGTATTGGCCAAATATGACATCAGCTCAATTCGGTATGTTTTATTGCGTCATGACAAATGATAAGATGATGTTATAGTTTTACACTCCAGGCACAACCTTACAACATGCATACCAAACATTTAATAAATATTTTTTTTAGGTCGGACATCACTTTTGGCCACTACTGCATGTTGTAAAATGAATAAATAAAATGATTTGTATTCTAAAAAATAATGACGTTATTACAGCAGAGCTATCTTTATTCATTTCGTGTTTTGGAGTTGTCTCAGGTTGTTAGTGCAGCTCGATGAGACTGAGAATGCGTTTGAACAGTTCTTGTCGTTTTTGGTTTGGGGTTGGGGTTAGAATATGGACAAATTAGATAACCTACACAGTTTACTTTACTGTGATTTAAATAGGGTCCAGGACAAATAGATGCATTAATGTGCATCTGTGTTTGTTTGTATGTTGGCAGGTGAACCAGTGGTGTGAAAGTGGAGTGTATCTGTTGGCCTCTCAGGCGGTAGACAGATGCCAGACCCAGGAAGGTGCAGAAGCAGCACTGCAGGACATCGAGAGGTACATGAAAACAGCCAAAGAGCAGCAGCTCAGTCATCTCAAAGACCTCGGCAACCAGTATGAGATCATCCTCTCAGAGCTGGTCAAGGTACAAGTGAAATTGATTACAGTTGAATGCATTTGTAAACAGTGGAATTCAAATACAGTCTATACATATATATACAGGGGCACCTTAAGAAAACACAACAGGGCTGAAGACACACCTTAAGAAAAATGTTCTTTTCACTGCTCCCACAGAACAAATATATACCGTATGTCTTTATTGAACATTGATGGAGCAAACGATTTTGTGTGAAAAAGTGGTTTGTTTTGTTTAAAAATCTTATAAATGTTTGAGGTGGCAAGGTTTGCCTTTTAGCCCACACACGGGGTAAAAGGTTCACCAGCATGGCAAAAGGCACACAGTTTTTATGCAAATACTTTAGGCAAAATAATATGTTTTAAATAATGTCTAAGTAAATACTTGTTCAAAACAATCCCTTTAGCAAAGTTTGTACTATTTTCTGTTTATTTTGATAAATAAATGAATTTTTGTTTAATAAATAAATATACTGTCATTAACATATGCTAATATAAATATATTTTGAAAATACAGAAACAAAATCATTTTAAAAAGTAAAGATTCTGAAAGCATTGAAGGAGATCCCATAATTATTTAATATAGATTTACAGTAGGAACAATAAATTAGATTTTATTATATGATATGATTAATATCATATTTTTAAATATGATGGTTTCATTATAAACATGGTGATTATCTCTTAAGGTGGAAACCCAACCTAATATATGATATTTACCATCTGAATCTAACCATGTCATGTCAACAACTGGAAAAGTCAGCCAGCTATTTATTATCATGTTAAAGCTGCAGTCCGTAGCTTTTTTTGGGTTAAAAATTATCCAAAATACATATTTGAGAAAATACATAACCAGCCAGTGTTCAAAACTATCTGCTTGCCGTAGCTCGATTCAAAGTGGTAAGCTTGTAATAATGTTTTTAATTCCAGTGGTACTGGTGGATTTCCGCGGGAGATTCGAGCATGTCTTTGTGTCATTACGTCACATCTGTACACATAAAGGAGTCTCGGCTAGTAGGCTATATTGCGTGTGAGGATGTTGGAGGTGGAGATTTATAGCCTTTTCTCACAGCACTTGATATAATTAAACATATTAATTTGATGGCGGATCCAGAAAGGTTCAAACGACAATCACCAGTGACAACTAGAGACTCACCCGCTGTAAAATGCAAAAGACTTCGGAGTGGCTACAGAAAAAAAGAGACTGCAACCGGCTCATGAGAAAACAAGGATACATATCGGAAGGACATGTAGTCACGCAATCCTGACGTTGTTAACATTAACAATTTGAGAACAAAGTATAATTTGCACGGTTTTGAAAATTATTATGTTGGTCAATACTTCCAAAAAGAATAATCTGTGATTCTGAATGCCAGTATCCACTCCGGCGCGGTGACTGACAGCTGCGCACTCAACTCAAACATTGTGTTCATCCGCGCTGTGCGGTGTCGAAGTACAACTCACGTAAAGTTGATAAATCCGCGAATGACTGCAATTGCAGATTTCGAACAGAGATGGCGACAAAGAGGAAAAACTACGAACTGCAGCTTTAATTATTGTGCCTTTCTCCCCGACAGACTTTTACCCCATACCATACTTTTACATATTCTCCCGTTATTGAAAAACTGTTGCTTTAATTACCTTGAACAAAACTGAAAATCATTAAGACCCTTGTCTCAAAATGTATTCATCAATTTTATCGAATCTCAGTTGCTACTTAAATCTTAAAACATTTTTTAAACCCTAAAACTTTTAGACTAAACTAGATTCAGATTTTTATATTTTAAATTTGGTTTCAGAATTCTGGAGCTCACTGTAGCTTTAATGATACTATTCATCTGCTCCTGATTAAATAACTGATATTTTATATCTTTTTTACCTTCCCATGCAGAGCAAAGCCCAAACTGCTCTTAAAAGGCTAGATGATGTTCAAGAGATGTTTGAGAAAAGACATGCGAGTCTGAAAAAGCTGTCCACAAAGCAAACAAGGCCAGTGCAACCTGTTGCACCTCGACCAGAATCTTCACCAAAACGCAGTTCACCTAAAATCCCGCCACCCACTGCAGCTGGTGAGTAAACCAGGTGTATGTTGACAGAAACGCATGCATTTCAGACCGCCAGTGGTTAGTGGTCTTTTTTTGTATACTTACCTCTCTTTTTTTCCCCAGAAGCATGTCCTCATTTCGAGTTCATAAACTTTTAGTTTGAGTGCAGTTTTGTTCAAATTAATGCACTTATTGTAGTACCAGTGCTCACATTTATGCAAATTTACTGATGTTTCTGACAGAAAAAAAAAAAAGAAAGTTACACTTTGTATCCTGAAGTATTTAAGTGGAAAATATGAAGGCTTTCCAGCTTGTTTAATTATGTTCTAAACTCTGCAGCATCAAATCGCAAAGCTACAGAGAACTCCTGTACCAATAAGCAGCCCAGTGACGCAGAGCTGGCAAGGAGGAAAAATATTCGCAAAGCCAAAGGTGGCATCAAGGTACATCAGCCTTTCTCAGATACATGGTCTGAAATAAATCAAAGTTTAAAAAAAATGTTTTAGTCTGGGATTAGTTCTGGTTAGGTTACACTTTTTGATAATGCATTTGAGACATTCTACTGACTTCAAGTAACTTTACAACTACATGTTAACTAACTCTCATTGGAGTATTAGTGGACTGTTAGGTTAGGGTTAGTAGAACACATTGGCATGTAGTTGCAAAGTAACTTGTAGTCAGTAGAATATCTGTTGGGGGAGCTTCAAAATAAAGTGTTAGCAGATACTAAGCAGACAGTCTTCTGGTAGTTTACTTGTAGTTGCAAAGTTACTTATAGTTAGTAGCAGTGTTGCACTGTAAAAAAAAAACCTGCATAAAAAATCAAGTAAATGGGATGAATCAATAAAGCTCTTGTAGTATATGTGTAGTAGTTTGAAAAGAAATGAATAGACAGACATTGCAGGGTTTTCTTTTTAGTCCTTCAGTTCACTAAACGTCATAACATTTTCTTTTTGGGATCGACTCTCAACCTTACGTAACAAAGCATTAGTTGCAAAGCCCAAAACTGTTACTGCCAACTAAACGAACATGAGTTTCACCTACCCAGAAATGTCAGTCCAAAGATATGAAGCTGAACGCTGGTTATGTTGTCGTTTTACAAACTGGCAGCTGTGGTTTCCTGAATAATTCTCTCTAAAATACTGTAAAAATGTAAACACATTTACAGAACAACCTGTATATTTTACAGAATTACATTTTGTGTAATTTACACACACAAAAAAAACATTAAAAAAAGCATTTAAAATCTTATCAGCCGTTTCTGTGAAAAAAAAAAAAACTATTTTGTACTCTTAACACACACTGACAGTCACTATAATAACACTTGTGGTCACAAGTAGCTTTCCCACAAGCTAAGGTGCTAATACTGTATATAGAACATCATTGTAACACACAGGCACTAAAATAATGCAATAAACATTCATTTAAACAGATAAGATGTAACATAAAACGTATATAACTGATAAGAAAAAGTAATTAGAAACTTAATTATTAAAATTAAAAACCATCAAATGTGAAGTGTCACAGAGAAAAGTGTGAAAGTCATTGTAAGGAAATTATAGGTTATGTTCGTTTTACTTTCAAAAATGGTACATTTTACAGTGTTTTACTGTATTTTATCAAATGTAAGCTTAGATCTATTATAGCCTTTCTCCTTATATGGTATACGGTAACTTACTGTTAACCAATATACAGGTTTTTACTGTCGCATTTTTACAGTCTTTAAAGTAATTAATTACTAGCTACTAATTACTTCAACAGTGTAATTAGATTACTATACAAATTGCTCTCTCTAAAAAGTATTGCATTACTCATTACTAATTACTTTTTAAATCCCATATCAACCTCGACCAGTTGAACAATACAAGGACAAACATGAAACTGCTTTTTTAAATTCTTTTTAAATAAATTATATAAAATGGCATAAATTATTATTGAACTGACCAAAATATTTAAAAGGAGAAGATTGCATTAAAAACATACATTTTAACATTAGACGCTAAATTTTAATGTTAAATCCACTGTTGTTTTATATAGAATAGCTCTATAGTCTATACAGTATAACTGTATAAGTAACTGTTATTAAATTAAAGAAAAATTTTAAGTAATCCCTTACTTATTGCTTTAAGGGATACGTAATTAAATTGCAGTAATACAACTGGTTTGTAGATTGTCTATAGAGGACTTTTGTAATAGATTGTTATCTTAGTTCTTGCATGTAATTATAATTGTATTTAATAAAAAAGGCTGAGTTTATTTGATCATTACAAATTATACGTTCAGAATACATAACGCTGTTTTTATTTAAATTAAATCTTTAACATGCAGTTTTCTGTCTTCCTGTGGTTTCTCACAGATCGAGGTCATGCATGAAGGAGGCCAAGGGGGTTCGAGTCATGTTCTCATGAACAATGAAACAGAAGAGTCGCTTTCAAACAGACGCAGGTAAAAACATGTCTTTTGAGAAAGAGCGTCTTGCACTACACAAGAGATTTCCAGTCAAAATCACAAAAGTGGTAAATGTGTTAAGCGGTGTCAGAAACTATCCTTACGAAAAGGACAAGACTATATTTACCCACTGGAATTGATTTTCAGGGACTTCATTTTATAGCTAGATTAAAATGTCATCAATTTGTATATGTATGGAATAAGAAATAGCAGACTCTTTTTTTTTCTCTGGCTAATGCTAATTTCACCGCTAGCTAGCATGTTATGTACATTCCACACACACACAATTTCAGAGCTGCAAAGTCTCACTCATTGACCCTTTTCGCTCACACCACACATCCTTTTTCTCACGCAGAGAAAAATCACGAAGCAAAGAGGACACTGACACCGACAGTCTAGACAGAGAAGATTACCTTTGATATGGAACAAATTCACAGATCTCAGATTCTGTCAATTTTATTACGAAATTCAAACAATAAATACCGTTTTGGCGCTTTTAAATGTGACAGATCGCTGTAGCGCCTCAGTTCATATGGCACGTGAACCGACTATCTCTCTTCACAAGCCTAGTTAATAGTAAATAAACACGAATGAGCAATAGGTGTGTGTTAAAGGGGTCATGAACTGGCTTTTTAAATTGTGTTATATTGTTGTCTGAGGTCAACTTATGACGTTCGCTTGGTTTTTACATTCAAAAACATCCAAATGAATAAGTAATAGGCTATTTTCTACCCTAATTTTGAGCCTAGCTCAAAAACGCTCGGTTTTTATGGGCGTCTCGCATTGAAGACTTGGAAGTAAACGCACACTGCTTTGAGTGGATAACAGTTTTGCATATTATAATGAGTTTCGTGTAATGCGCGAATCGGTGGGCGGGGCTAAACCGGCCGTGTTGAAGTAGGCGTTGATCTTCTTCTGCGGGGGTGGTGTTTAATCTTCTTTGTCGTCATAGTTCCCCACTTTGAAAAACGAGTCGTTTGCTGAGCCTGGTGTCAATGAAAGCTTTTATTGGACTAACAAGGTTCCCAAGTAAAAATTCCCAAGTAATATTTCCCTTTATTTGGCTTTATTTTTATTTTTTTACACAAGTTTGATGTTTCATATCAAGCACTTCATTGACACACTTTTCTCCTTGGGAACCATGTAGACTAATGTTTGAACACTTTTGACATCACAACTTGGACATAAAAGTGAATGACACATTAAACAACACTCATCTTTCTGATAGTGGCCTATTGTTTTTTATCTTGGTCTAAATCTTTCTATATCTGACACTACACCACTGAAACAAGTGACTCACTTACTAATGGTTTCTGAGCTATTTACTATTTCTTAGTGTCTATTTACACTAAGTCCAAAATAGCCCACCTTGTTTGCAGATGCAATGTCTGGTTGGGACAGACAAAAGTATAAAAACCATCTATAATTTGTCAATAGCAGTGGCGTAGGGAGTAAAACGCATAGTAGACGTTTTTGATGCAAAGCAACTAGAGTTCGAATCCGTCTTTTGCCGAACTCGTTCTTCTTGCACATAAGATTGGAAAGGCATTTATTTTCAATAAATATGAACAAAATATGTTAAAATTGGAACCTAATGGTTATTTAATAATAAAGTGTTTATCGGATAGGGTTAGGGGTAGGTGTATGGAGGGCTTTAAAGCCTTCTTCATTTTTATTAAAAATAAATGCCTTTCCAATCAAGAAGAAGTGTTCATTAATTGTTCAATAAAGAACAACAGAATAAATAAAATCCGAAAACGTAAGAAACGTACACAGTAGCACTTCACACTAATTTTCCTAATACCGCCTGTGATATAGTGGGAGAACCTACCGTAATTATCACAGTATTCATATACACGGATTCCACCACACTTCTCTCCAAAATGCTCACGTTCATTAGAAACTTGAAAAATGTTGTATTTTAGTGGCGCGCTTACTCTTTATTAAAGTCCCCGTGAACCGGAAGTTGCAAACGACTTTTCTCCAGTGTTGTGACGTATTTCCGAGAGAAACGGAATACTAAATGAGGCAAAATAGTGGGTGTGGCTTTTTTCCCCAACTAGCACCTGATTGGATCTAGAAAAGTAGGTGTTTTCATTCAGCCTGTCTACCGTCAGTTGGAGGGGCGTGGTTACGGATGTTAAGCAGACACCCAAACCGTCAAACCTACGTCATCAGGGAAGGTCCTCCAATGCAGAGGGGAGGGGAAATTTCAGATTTTGATTAAAGATTACGAAGCCAAAAAATGTTTTTGTGTGGATTGACTTACATGCATGAATTGTTCACCACAAACCGATCAATTTAGGCAAACAAAGTAAGTATGGTCAATTTTGAATTCATGGGGACTTTAATGCTTAATAAGCATTTTGTATGACAGAACATGTGATGTCAAAAATAAAAATTCCAAATATTCTAATCTCTATGGTAATATCGACTTCACTGATTTGGATCGGCGACGTCTCGTCATACACAATGCTATTTTTTAGTTAATTTAAATGAAAGAAGAATAGATATAGTGAAGTTGTGGTAGAAATGGCATCCAAACGCTATCTTTCCGGAGCCGAAAACGGAAAAAAAGAAGAGCAAAGGAAAGACAAGCTCAAAGTAAAAGTAAGCTCTTTTGACTGCTATAAAAGCACATTATTTATTGCTTGTGTCACATATGAGGGAAACACTGGACCACTTTCAGCGTGCTAAGTTAAAGAATTATCTACTCATGCATTTTGTATTGATTTACTGTCTGATGAAGTTATCATAGTTGGTTAAATCAAGGCGGCATGCCACCTACAGGCCTTTTAGGTGAAGTGTAGGTTTGTAAAGAACGCGCAATGCCGGAGACGCCGGTTCGAATCTCGTTCGAAGCGGATCGAGTAGGATAAATTATATATATACTTGCACTTTTTTGTTTAAATATCTTTAAATATTTTTACATACACTACCGTTCAAAAGTTTGGGGTCAGTGAGAATTTTATTTTTATTTTTTGGAGGAAAGAAATCAATACTTAATTTGATCGAAAGTGACAGTAAAGATATTTATAATGTTACAAAAGATTCTATTTCAAACAAATGCTGTTCTTTTGAACTTCCTATTCATCAAAGAATCCAAAAAAAAACAAAAAACTGTACAACTGACAGACCAACAACTGTTTCAACATTGATAATAATAATAAATGTTTTTTTGAGCATCAAATCCTCATATTATACTGATTTGTGAAGGATCATTTGACACTGAAGACACTGACACTGGTGATGCTGAAAATTCAGCTTTGATCACAGGAATAAATTACACTTTACTATATATTCACACAGAAAACAGCTGATTTACACTGGAATAATATTTAATACTATAACTGATTTTTGTTGTATTTTTAATCAAATAAGCGCAGCCATGGTTAGCAGAAGAGAATTCTTTTAAAAGTATTTAAAATCGTACCGACCCCAAACTTTTGAACGGTAGTGTATGTATGTTGAATGTTACACTTTTTAGACACTGAAATATTGACCGATCTGTAGCCTTTTATTTATTTTGTTATATTAATTTATTTATATTTAATTTTATTTAGTTAATTTTATGTACAATTCACACAGTTTATTTTATTTATTTGTGTTTCATGTATATGTATTTAGTTTCATTTTTCAAGCTCACTTGCACTCAAAATATTTTTTTCATATGTATGTTGAAAATAATACTGTTAGTCTTTTTACGTGCTTTCTCTTCACTCATAAAATTGTTATGATAGTTTTTACTCCAGTGGGGCCTTTTTACATGATCTCGCCTAGGGCCACACAACCCCACGTGCCGGCACTGTTTCTGATGACGCGCGTTAATCTCATGCATTTCTGAATATACAGGATTAACTAGTTTGTTTGATAGTATCTGATACCTCAGTAGTTTTCAATCCTGGTCCTTGGGCCCCATTGTTCACGCCAAACAGGTCAACAAACCTGTCCCTGTTGGGTCTCATTACTGTTTTCAAACACGGATATTCTTCACAACATCTGTGACACAGTCTCTTTTGTATTTTGCACTACCATGACTACAGTTTCTAATTTCACTACAGAATTTATAATCTGTATTTTTCTTCCAGGCTTGCTGCTGCTTCTGCTTTTTACGTTTCATTTTGACACTTTTTGCAGGGTGTTATAAGTGATGTATCTTTTTTGAGTTGTGAAAACACGTCATTTCAGTGCATTTTCGCCTTGTAAAATGGTGTGAGTTTAGTCTCTATGCTGGTGTCTGATGCTACACATTGCATACTGATGTCTGTGAAATCAATTGACCTCATCAACTTCGCCTGCAGAAACATGAGTCTTCTTGAAAAGCTCTTACTTTGTAACTTTTAGTTAATAAATATGATGTGTCACGTAGGTACTGGGCTACTCCGCAGCGATTGTCGTCCCGTTCGGTCTAAAATAGTCAGAATATAAACACTTTTAATAGGCGTACCGTAGTAATTCGGGTTAAGTACGGTGGCCAAGAGAGCTCAATGTGCTACAACTGAAGAAAACACATGCACATAGAAAAAACACCAGAAAATTAAAAAAACATCTTCATCGGTATGGCAAAACGTGCCACAAATACTCACAACACAACCAATACAGAAACGCTATACAAATACTCACAACCTAACCAAATACAGAAACGTGCTGCAAATACTCGCATCCCAACCAAATACAGAAACACACTGCAAATACTCACAACCCAAACAAATACAGAAACACACTGCAAATACTCAGTCACAACCCAAACAAATACAGAAACACACTGCAAATACTCACAACCCAACCAAATACCAAATACAGAAACACACTGCAAATACTCACAACCCAACCAAATACAGAAACACACTGCAAATACTCACAACCCAACCAAATACCAAATACAGAAACACACTGCAAATACTCACAACCCAAACAAATACAGAAACACACTGCAAATACTCACAACCCAACCAAATACAGAAACACACTGCAAATACTCACAACCCAACCAAATA